AATGAAATTCAGAATGTGTGGCGGAATTTGGTTACAATAATAAATGTGACAAATTAATTGGAAATTAGTTAAGATTTGGATATAAAATTGTATTTAAATCGGATCAGATTTGGATATGATTTTAATAAGAACTATTGTCCCACAACGCCTTAGGCTAACACTAAAAAACAACACAACAATCGATTTGAAATACCCTTATTACAGCGAAGTATGTTGCTATCTCGAATTCACTAATTGCAATAGAAATGCCACTCAACTTCAAAATATTGCAGTTTACTGCACGCTTGGTATTTTATATTTAGCCTAAGGCGTTGTGGGACAATAGTTCTTATTAAAATCATATCCAAATCTGATCCGATTTAAATACAATTTTAAAAAAATTACTTTTACTTTTGGTTCTATTGAGCTTACGATTTCGTCACCTGGGTAAAAAAAAGGTTTTTTTGTCATAGAAGTTATTTTTTAAATAACTTCTGGGGAGAATATCCCAGATAAAAAACTTTGTACTTCCGATGTTAGTATGTGTGGTATAAAACAAATTACTTGTGCAAACTGCTGATAGCACTTACAACTTGTGATACTATATAAGAATAAATTATGTGATGTGATAATTTGTCATGATCATTTTGAGATTTTGAAGTTATTAAATAAAACATTTAAAAGCAACATTTAATTAAATGAAACAAAAAAATATACAAAATACTTAGCACGCCATCTGCAAAAGAATGGACCCAATTGTTTACTGCAGCAACACCAGAATTATTTGGAGTGGCTGCAGAAAGCTGTAGAATGAGTAATGTCCTCAAAAATATAACCTCGCAGCAAATGTTTTGCATCCGCTATATTAGGGTGGAAGGTTGGAGACAGAGCAATAAGTTGAAGACTTTTTACTAGAAAATATAAATGAAGATGGTTTTCCGTCATATTCAGAATACAAAAATGCGTCAGAATTTTTTGCCTTACTTTCGGAAAAACGTCGATACCTGGGCTATTCTGAAAATTGGCGTCAAATAGACACAATATTTGCACAAAAACTGCACATGTTCATACCGATTTGAAGAATAGATTATAATCAGAACGTTCTAAAAAATTGTTAGAAGTTTATTTTTCTTTCATAATTAATGAAATACCCTAGAGCCCCGACCTGTGTCATTAATGGGGACCGGAGAATCGCGACGCAACTCAAAACGACGCAAATCGAATCACCTTTTTCTATACATATACAAAATGCACTGACATTTAATTTACTGGGGAAAATATTCAAATTTGTTAACGTGCAGGTGACGATCAGTGTTGCCAGAAGTTGTAAAAATGTAAACGACGGAAAAGATGCTAAATCGGGCTCTGCAAATGCAAGAAAATAGTAATCCGCAATGTAGCTCGGACCGACCCAACTTGAAATTGTAACGACGCAAATCGAATTTTCTGGTTTTTGAAAAGCGACGCTACTCGGAACGACGCAAGTCTGGGCTCTAGTGTATAGGACGTAACGCTGAATATAAAGGATACTGATTCCAGCGAAAATGAAAATAAGACGAAATAAATTACAAAATAATTTGTAATAACATTTGTGTCTGTTTAGAGACCTTTGACTTATTTTATTTGAGTTTGTTATGCTTTTGTATTTTCTTTTTAATAAAACGGAATTTCTAAAGAAAAGCTGAATTTGGAATTAAAAACACTGTCTCGTGTGTTTTTCTTTCGTTCCAATTTTGGTCGAAACCCTTGTTTTATTGGGTAGGTTTTCGACTTTTCCGACGCATGTTGGAAACGTACGTCAGATGCGTCATAATTTCCGACGGGCCATCTCTGACTGGATTTTCTCCGCAATTAGTTTTTGCATTTTTTTGCACAGTGTAATTAACTTTTTAAAGTTAAAGCTTATGCTATGTTATTCATTTATTTTTATGTATATCGTTTTATGCTACCAAAACGTGCCTCACCCTAGGTCTCTCTGGATGAAATCCGTATTAGGACATTCGGAGTCGATCTAGCGTCGCATGTCTTTCCGTCTGTCTGTTTGTCTGTTTGTCTGTCTGTCTGTCTGGTAGAGGAAGGAGTCGATGTAGTCCAAAAATGGCATGTCGCAATACTTATTGCCCTACTACTTCGGTACTTCCCTTTTTAAGGGTCAACATTTTGAATAATCATAACGCAATCAAAATATATTTCAATAAACGGACATAGGCTGTCGGTTAAACCGACTTATACTTTAAAGTTTTAATTTAAAAGTTGACTAATTAAATGCTGCCATGTAAAAAATGTTATACATAGTAGGGAGGGTATATTGGGTTCGTCATTTCGTTTGTAACTTCTTGAAATAAGCATTGTAGATCCCACAATGTAAGCATTGCAGACCCCACAAAGTGTATATTCTTGATCAGCATAACAATCTATGTCAATTCAGCCTCGCCCGCCCGTCTGTGGGAATCACTCTAGCTTTCGAACGCAATGAATGGACTTATATCAAATCCTTCGCTAGGAACAGGTCTATATATGCCATTGTTCATCTAGAAAACGGTAAATTTCATAAAGTCTTATTGGCTGCAACGCATTTTTACCAGATTTGTTGTAACATTAACAAAAAACACAGCTTCTTGATCAATTATTTCTAAGTTTTTAAAATAGATACAAATGTAATCGAATGTTGGACACATGGATTTGTTTCTCCAATGGGCAAATAACCTCTTCTTAGTATGCAATAAATAAATTGCATTGTTGTTCCGTTAACATTAAGACCAAATGATAGAAAGCTTTTGTAGGAAAATATTTATATTTTATGTTTTATACCCTCCACCATACATAGTATGGAGGTTATATTATGTTCGTCATTCCGTTTGTAACTCATCGAAATAATTATTGTAGATCCAACAAAGTATATATATTCTTGATCAGCGTAAAATTCTAACACGATTTAGCCCTGTCCGTCCGTCTGCCCGTCTGTTGTAATCACGCTACAGGCTAAGCGAATTAATATAGAAAGCTAAAATTTTGCCCAGATCTCTCTTTTGTCTGCAGGCAGGTCAAGTTTGAAGATGGGCTATATCGGTTCACGATATCGTATAGCCTCCATATAACGGTACCCCCGATATCCGGTATTTTGATGATCTTAGCCACATTTTTCAATGGCAGTCATCTAAGAGCACTTTATCTCTTGGCAAGAATTATATATATAGGTCCCCGATATCGTATAGCCCCCATATAACGATACCCCCGATATTCTGTTTTTTGATGATTTTAGTCACATTTTCTAATAGAATAGTCTGAAAATCCACACGAGGAGTTCTTTGTGGGCACTTTACTCCCTGAAGGAGAATTGTCTATATAGGTCCACGATATCGTATATCCCCCATATAACGGTACGCCCCGATATTAGGTATTTTGATGATTTTAGCCACATTTTCCAAAGGAATGGTCTGAAAATTCGCACAATGAGTTCCTTGTGAGTACTGTATTCATTGAAAGCGAATTACCTTCATAGGTCCACGATTTCATACAGTCCACATATAACAGTACCCCCCGATATTCGGTATTTTGAATAAGGAGTTATTTGTGAGTACTTTATCCCTAGACATAGATTTGTCTATATAGGTCCACAATATCGTCTATCGCCCTATATATCGGCACCTTCCGAGATTTTAACAAAATTTTTAATGGATTTTATTTTTATTTTTTGAAAATATCCTAATTCGTTCTAAATTTTGGAGGTTATTCAAAGTTTGGCCCGGCCGAACTTACTGCTTTTTTACTTGTTTTTTTAATAATTTTGCTAAAAACGTCCATAAGCAAGAAGGGAGATATTTTGTACGTTGTTTTTAGTTTCTTTCTCACACACACAAGCACAAATTACATTTTATGCATCTATGGTTTGCTTTCAAACAAAATATATAAAATATCAAGATATCCTTAAAAAGTCTTTCCAAAACATTCAAATCTATGAAATCTACAACAGATATGACATTGTAACATTTTCCGATAAGTATCAACAATTGTCATCACTACTACATACGTATTACTTTATACTACACCTAGACTGAGAACATCAAATCTATGCAGTGTATGCGTGAGTGTGTGCGTAACATAAAATCAAGGATCATTTTTATCTTGCCTATTTGAATGCGAGCTCTTCTGATATCCAACACTGTCGCCACTACTACCACTGCCGCTGCCCGAGTATTTCAAAATGATCAGAGCATTGGGGCTACTGCGGGCGTTGCCGATGGGTGGCGGTGGCTGAGGCTGGTTAGTAATGGCTGTGACGGCCGTACTGTCATGCTTGGAGGATGATGTAAAACGATAAGAGGGTGAAGGTGACGGAGGACGTGTGGGCTGTTGATGTTGTGCGCTAATTGTGGTCTCTGAGGTGGGACGTTGTATCAGATGCACATACGGGTGGGGGGGTTTGGGTTGGGGACGAATTTTCGGTTTTACAGCACTAGCGGGTTGCAGATTCAATGTAGTGGGACATGCGGGTGGGGGAAGGGGTGATGTGTTTGCTGAATGGACAGTGCCAAGAATCTTGGTGGGTTTTATGATTTGAAATAGGGAGCGGGGGGATTTAAAGGAGGTTCGTCTGGACGATTTTGTAAGCACTTCCGTGTTGATTGATTCTGCCGGCCCATTAGAAGTGGGTGAGCTCTCGTTCGTAGAATCTTTCTTGCGTTTCGGTAAAATGTTTTCTAAACGAGTGTAAATATGGAATTTTTTTAGATAAGGGTTAGGTTAGTAGGTGTCGGATATATATAAAGGATGATCCAAAATCTCGTGTGATAAATTGGTCCAGCATGGTCCATTCGATACGCCATGCCAGGTAAGATGAATAACGAGATGTTAGAGCAAATGAAGTTAGCTACTGCGGGGTGGTGTTAGTGACGATGACAATGTCCTACTAAGGGTTTAGAATATGATGGTTACAAATGCAATGCATGGAATCGGTGTACTATGAAGAGTTCTGATTTTGTACTATTTTGTTTTAGTGAATATATAAAATAGGTACTAACTTACTATGAAGTTGAGGCCTGCTAAATACCGACAGGCGTTCTTTGTTGCTGCTACCGCTGCGGGGGCTGTGGCCGTGGACTTTGGGCGAAATCGAACAGAAATTAGATGACGGGTATTCGTATTGGCTTATATCTAGGTACTAGTACTCACTGTTGTAGGCGGAATTGTCCATCTGACTGGAGGCGTCCGTTCGTGTACTCCGGTTGTCGTCACGTATTCGCTCACCGCTCAAATCACTGTCGCTGTTTAGGCTGTCGTATTCCTCGGACTCCGATTTGATGGTCTTGGAACGTCGCTTGTGGCGCTTCTCGGTGCTGGTGTGGCTGCACTCCCCACCTCCCATGGATATATTGCCACTGCCCGATACCGAACGTTTGACCTTCATACCCGTATTGGAGAGTGTGTTGTCGTCACCGCTGCGTGGATCGTACATGGCCGGCTGCATGCCCTTGCGGTTAAGCGGAATATTGGCCGACTGGTTCTCGTGTTCTGGTAAATGGAATGTAGCATAAGGATATATATCTTCAGAGTATTCAGGTATGCGCTCAAGTGCAACAACCGAATCTCCCGGTGATTGCTGACACGATTTGCGCATCGTACCATAATATTGCTCACGGTGTTGTAGATCCTTTCCCTCGTTGCCGGGCGGCCTCAGCGTGTCCACATTGCGTGAAAATATATGTCGCGGGTCTGTAATGGGTGCCATTAGGGTCATGCTCAAAAGGCCAAAAAGGCAGACTTACAGTTCTTGAAACATATACAAGCTCCGATCAGAGCCAATATCGTGCCGAAAACGGATGTTATAATCACCGCTATCAAATGGGCATCTCTAAACAAGGAATTCACTTGGGGTATATCACTCTGATCCAAGTCACGAGACATTCCGCTAAAACGCAATGTTTCAAAGGTGTACTCCTTGATGGTGGATCCGGCATTGTTGTGGGCCGTCACACGTAAATTGTATATGGTTCCCGACTCCAAGTCGCCAATAGTGTAGCGTGTCTAATTGAATTGAAAATTGAAAATACAATTGTGATAATAACATTTGCCCAACAAAATTGCCTCGATCCCGCATCTAAAGAAACGCTGTAGCTGCTGGAGAGGATCGTAAGCATTTCCTCCTAACCTTCTCGCAAACTCGCAAACAAAGTGTAGCTTTGCCGAGTGTTGCGGCGACAGACGTTTCTTTAAATGCTTCTATAACCATGTCTACGTATGGAGGCCGAAAGGGATAATGATGCCGCTTGGTTAGTGATGTGAATACGGATACTAATGGTTAATTTACGTACATGATCTCAACTACACTCTACGGTCTACGGTAGGCGATTTCATGGAAATTACAGTGACTTACGTGGGTCTCAATGCGACTGGACACGATAATCCAGTCGCTGGAGATACCGTATCGTTTGAACTCAATACTGAAATATTGAATTGGACAGCCGCCATCCTGCCACGACGACAGTTCTATCAGCGCTGAAGTAATGTTCGGTCTTATCAGGCTATGTTTGGTGGGGGCAACGGGTTTGTTTCCTGCAAGTACCAGTACAAAAAATAAGGGATAGAGTTTGTATTCTACGCCAGTTTCTCACGGTCGAAATACCTTTGGTTTTTCCCACTTCGATGGAGCTGGTTGCGCTTGTGCCGATTTTATTGAATGTGACCAATGTGAATTGATATCTCGTTCCGCACTGTAATCCCTCCAAAAGATGGGAATTCACTCGACGATCCAGTTGTATTTCCTCCCAGTCTCCAAACTCCTTGCGATACGTCAATGTGAATCCTCTCAACGGTGCACCACCAATGTCGTCGACTTTCCATTGCAAAGAGACCGAATTGGTGGTGGTACCAATAACTGAGATGACAGGTGCAGATGGTGGAACTAGAAATATAAAAGCGGCGTTATTATCGATCAGAAGAAACTTGTTTGCACCTTCAAAAAGAGGCAGTCCATGTCACCAAGTGCAGACTTTTTCGTGCATTTCTGTAACTAAACAAAACGTTGTTTTTAATATCTGACAAAGATTTTAGAAGCTCCTGTCGGTGGGCATTTCCAATTTAATTGTTGTGTCAGTCGTCGACTAGCATTCGTCGCGTACAGTCATTCGATCGCTTCATCTGTGTTCACATTTTTTTCATTAGAGTTCTCTCAGTGTCACTCAATTTTAACACCTTCTTATTAGTCTCTTTTTTCTTACATTTACTGTTGAGCCATTAATAAAAATATATAAGTTTGCATTTTTATTAAGGTGCATTATGCCCCCTGAGCCCCCCAATTTAGGGGACAATCAATTTGCTATTTTAGCAGAGAATCCCCAAAAAAAACGAAAAAAATGTGAAAGAGGAATTCCATTAGAATTCCCAATTCTCCCTAACAAATCAGCTCCAAACCCAAGGTATGTTGTAGTGTCTGCTTTAGATCAAACAAAACAGTTGACAGAGTACTCATGTTTTGCTATCCAAAAAGCATTTGATATAATAACAAAAGAAATTATTTCTATTTCTCCCCTGAGAGATGGTGAAAGATAAAATAACTGCAAACAAAATTGTAAGTACTAAAGAATTGACTGGTGTATGCAAAATAAAATCTGAACTACACCAACAACTCAATGTCACTAGAGGCACCATTTACGCTCCATATCTCAACAATGTCCCTGAAAAAGAGATCATTACTGAACTCTCTGATCAGGGTGTTGTTGACGTTTATAAATATGAGAAATTAGTGGATGGAAAGAGAATTAAAACGGGAGTGATTCTTGTCACTTTCGATCTCTATAACCTGCCAGTAAAATTACAAATTGCGTATCACTCAGCCTTCGTAAAAGAGCACTACCCGAACCCCATGAGATGTAAACAATGTCAATTGTTAGGGCACACAGGAAAACGATGCAAAAATCCACCATTATGTGCAAATTGCAGTTTGCCCCCTCACTCTCCAAATGATTGCACACGCATTCTCTGTGCCAATTGCAACGAAAACCATCCATCGTCATCAAACAGTTGCAAATTATACAAGCAACAAAAAGAAATTTTAAAACTAAAAACAATAAACAAATGTTCGATGAAAGAAGCATTGCGTTTGTATAAAAACCAACCAACAGACATTCTTTGTAACACCTGGCTGGAAATGAAATAAACAATTATAGAAACTACTCCAAAAGCACAAATCAATAACTTATTAAAAACTCCAACAACAAACCTACCATCACTCTCTCTTGATCAACAACAACTCCCAACCCAACAAAAAATATTTCTTCAACAACAACAATAACAACAACCACAAATACCATAAGCAAACCTTCGAATCTTACTCGTAATAATTCAAACCCAAAAATAAAAATAAACAAACCTCTGTCAACTACAGCGAGTACCACTAACTGTACTAAAAACGTTTCAATAAGTAACCTCAACACCACAAAATTACAACAAAAACCAAATGCACTTATTAATGAGCCACCGTCAACATCTGGTTTCTCTTTACCTAAAGAGAGACAAAATTCAATTTCAAATATCCAAAACACAATAACAGCAATGGACACAAATACCGATCATTCATCTGATGAATGATCTTTATTATAATCTCTTATGGGATTGAACATTTTACAGTGGAACATCAGAGGATACTGTAATAACTACTCAAATCTTCAATTATTACTTTCGGATACTGATGCTGATATTGTTTGTTTGCAAGAAACAAAATGCAAACAAAGTCGTACACCATGTACTCCAAAAAAATATATTGGTTACTTCTTCAATAGATACAATTCTTCTAAGGAAGGAGTTGCCATACTTATCAAAAAAAGTATTCCTCACCAAATTATCAATTCCACCTCTCCACTGTGTTGTATCTCTGTTCAAATTAATCTCTCCATTCGTTTTACTATTCTCTCTCTTTACCTTCCACCACAGGAAACAAAACATCCTTCAATGCTTGACTCTCTTATCACCAACATATTACCCCCTGTTCTTATCCTGGGGGATCTAAATGCCTGGAGTAGTCCCTGGGGCTCTCCCAAATCAAATAATAGAGGTATTACAGTTGAAGCCTTTATTGATAATTCCAATATGACAGTTTTAAATGATGGTTCCCCAACTCACCTTAGCACACATGATACATTTAACCATATAGATGTTGCTATTGTATCCATAACATTATTTCCAAAATGTTCATGGCACACAGATGATCATTTTCCTTCAGTGACAACTTTAAATATTAACACCAATTCTTCTGGTGCTTCTAAACCTAAATATATAACAGATAGAGCTGATTGGATTAAATTAAAAATAATATATCTTCAGTAGAAGCCAATTTTTCTCAATCTAAAAATACAAATAAAGAATCAGCCCAAATTAGGAAAATTATTCGCATTTCAGCAAACAACTGCATCCCCCAAACCAAAAACATTATTAGAAGGAAAAATGTACCATGGTGGTGCAAAGAACTCCAAATTCTTCGAAATGAAAAACAAAATGCGTTAAAAATCTTCCGACGCAATATAAGTAGAGAAGATTTTCTAGACTATAAGAGGAAAAATTCCATTTTTAATAGAGCTAAAAGCATAGCAAAGACGAACGCCTTCCAACGTTTCACGTCAACAATCTCCCCAACAGTTTCATCATCTTTTCTATGGGGTAAAATTCGGTTGCTTACAGGAAACTGGAAGCCAAACCAAATTAAATCATTAGACACTTAAGGCGGGATCACACGATTGCCGCAATGCGCCAATTATTGGTGCATTTTATATGCCAATCGTGTGATTGCACAATTTATTGTCCAATGCGACAATCAAAAATAAATTGTGTTGATTTGCGGCAATCAAATACAACTCTGGTACGACAATCGTGTGAACTGTTAATAGACAACCTTGCGCAAATTTAAATTTGAAAAATGCGTCAATATTTATTGTTTTCTAGTGCGTCAATCAAAGAAGACAATACGCGTCAATAACTTGATTTTTTTTAAATAATATTTTTTCTTGTGTTTGTACCGTCAACATTTCTTTGTCGTAAGTAAAGTAAAGTTAATTTAAATTGTTGTATTTGCTATAATTATGTTCATATTATGTATTTGCAGCTTTAATATGGAATTCGGTGATTGCATTGTATACGAAAATTCAGCTGAGCTTGAGTTCTTTTCCCCCGATCAGCAACCAGAAACACCTGTGCCGAAAAAAAGAAAAAAACCAAGTGTAATTTGTTCCTGGACCTACACTGCAATACAGGAGCTGATACAAGCTGTGGAACAGCATCCATGTGTTTGGCAGTATTCATCCACCGAGTACAAAGATAGGAATAAACGGGAGCAGGCATGGCGGGAAATTGAAAAAATGTGTACAGGGCACACGGTGGAAGACTGCAAGGCCAAATGGTGCAACATTAAAACGGCCTTTCAAAATGTAAAAAAAAACTAAAATCAAAATCTGGTCAGGGAGCCGAAAATACCATACCACATTGGCCGCATTGGTCTGCAATGCAATTTTACAACGACCACTCTGTGTCAAAAATGTCAAGTACAGTGTCAACATTAGATTTGGATGACTCTGGAAGTACTTCACAACATGCCGCTGCTGAGATTGTAAAGGTAGACAAAAGTGACATTTTGCAGCGTGCAGTTAAGTGTTTAGATGCGGAGGAAGATAATTGGCACGCGATTGGGATGTATTTGGCATCACAAATGCGAGAAATTGCCAAGAAAAACAAGAAGGCTGCGAACAAACTGCATTTCCAGCTTGTCAAAGTCGTAATGGATGCAGCTTTGGAAGCTGAAGAAGATAATTAAGCCTTGATAAATTTTTTGCGTTATATTTCATTTTTTAAATTGAATTTTTATAGTATGTATATGTAAGTTTTTGTTTTGTTATTTTGTTTGCAATATTGAAGTACCTTCCTAGTCCGTATTTTTTTAGATACTAAAAATGAATTAAATAAAACTATAGTAAATTTTCTGATTTAAAATTAAAGTTTAAATTTTATTTGATATATAAAATTATTTATATATTTTTATATTGCCAGCTCAATTCTCCAATAGGAGACATGAAATTCTTTTCCATTTCATCCCGAACAGCCTTTGCTTCACTTGTTATATAAGAACTTGGAACATTTTCTGTTCCACTCACAGCATCTAGTGGGAAGTCATTTCGCCATGTACCAGGAATTAAAGCACCGTCCTCATCGTAGCGATCAACAAGCAACGACGTTGTATAATTTAAATTTTTTTTTAACAAAAAATTGTGTAATGCACAGCAAGCTAGAGTTGTAGAGGTTGTTTTCTCTGCATTAAGCTTGGAAGGGCGTGAAAAAATTTGAAATCGCTTGACCATTATGCCAAATGCATTTTCTACAACACGTCGTGCTCTCGATAGCCTGTAGTTAAATATTCTCTGCCCTGCAGATAAACTTTTACCAGGATATGGCTTCAGCAAATGTTTCTGCATGCGGAAAGCATCATCCGCAACCAAAACAAATGGAACATTTGCTTGACGACCTGGCAATGGTTTTGGAAGTGGCAAATTTAGCTCATTATTGTTTAAAGCACGTTGAAAAGTACAGTCTCCAAAGACTCCACCATCCGACACACGACCATTACAGCCAACATCAACGTATAAAAAGTTGTATTCGGCATCAACAACTGCCATTAGCACTATACTATGTGTACCTTTATAGTTATAGAAGGTGCTTCCTGAATTAGGTGGTGCTATAATTTGCACATGTTTGCCGTCAACCGCCCCTATGCAGTTCGGGAAGTTCCATAGTTTGTTAAATTTGAAAGCAACGACATTCCATTCTTCCTGCGTGGATGGTATCTACATACATATCAAAAGAAATAATAAGTCAATTAAAAGGCATAAATATGTGTGTATTTAGATTTTTCATACCTTTATG